GTATTATACTTTAAATATATGTGTGCATGTTGTATGAATATGAATGTATGTTTATGTATGTACGTACGTATGTGTGTATGTATGTGTATGTATGTATGCATGTGTGTATGTATGTATGTATGTATGTATGTGTATATTATAAACGTACATATATCATTGCTTTGTTTGTATCTATTTTTAAACGAGCAGTTGGCCAGGGATGTGCGTTATTTCCACTAATTTCTTGTCTGTCTATGCCTTATTTGTATACAATGTTTATACCTTTTAAAGTTGTTTTTTAGTAAAGTAGATTAATTTTTTCCTGCGGTGAAAGCTGTTTTAACGTATTTTTAAACATGGATAAATATGAATATGGATAAATATATCCATATATCCCTGGTTTAAACTTTTATTTTATAAACATACTCTTTATAGTTTAGTAATTCAGAAGAATTATTTTCTTAATTTTATCAATTACACTTAACTAATAAATTAAGCAAAAGAATGTTCAAACTAACATTTCTTCAAAAAATACGCTTTGACTTGATTAAAAATATACTAAAAAATTATTGCATGAATGCACGTATGTAAAGAGCAAAAACTTAGAAAATATGCGATCACAGACATCTTATTCTATGAAATATCAAAAATGTGTGTCTTAACTAAGAAATACTCAACCAATTGACACTTTAATTTAAAACTTTAATTAAAAAATGGTTTCAGATTTGATTAATTGGTAGATGTTATTTCACCACAATCATTGACTTCATAGTAATCAACGTGTGAGCCAGATTGAAACACGTCAAAGTGTAATAACATCGAAAGCTTCTCCGCTGACTGCTCACACGATAAAACAGATTTGGCTGACTCTGAAAGTGGAAAATTTAAAGTTTTCTTTCGAAATAATCTCAAAAAATAAATTAAAACTGTCAAAATGTAATGAAAAACTGTCAAAATATAATGAAAAAATGCAATAATAGTTTACAAAACTTTTTTAAATCGATAAATTTCAGCGGAAATTAACCCCAAAGACCTTTAAATACTGCCAGCGTATCGACGTCTGCTATCTCATCCATGGCTTGTTGGAACATATCCGTCTGTAGAGGTCCAGGAGCGTACGAAAGCACTCTGATGTCTGGCTCCTCCTTTGAAATTACGCTGAATATCATATCCCTTGCCGCTTTTGCTGTTTAGAGGATAAAAAATTCAATGGGTTTATTTCTTGTGTTTATTCACTACCATCAGCAGTTTAGTTTGGGAATTTGTATGAATTTAACTTCTGAAAAACTTTATTTTCAATTTCAACTAACATGTTTTGAAAAAGGAATTAATACATTTCTTTAATTATTTGAGACAATTATTTCAAAATTCAAGCTAAAAATTGAAGTATACCAGCACAATACAGGCCCCATGATTTGAAAGGTTTGATGGCTAACAATGAACTAATCTGAACGACATATCTGTGCTTAGTTTGCAAGTTCGTGAAGATACTAAAGAACAAACTGTTGATGATGAGAGCTGAAGTTAAGTTTAGTGACCAATACTCATCCAGTAACTTTTTATCATTTTGTTGAAGAACTCTCAATGACAAATCACCAGCTGAGCCTGCGTTTTGCAACAGCAAACATTGATTGAAGTCGCTAGAAGAAAGATTATTATTCTGCAAAAAAAACATTATCCATTTTACTGAATACTACTGAATGAAAATTAAATTTTAAAATGAAATTACGAACTTTTAATTGAGCTTTCAAGTTATCCTCAAACACTTCCCCATCAATATCGCAGAGATCAGCGGTCATGGTAAAAACTAAGACATCAGACCTCAAAGAATTTACTTTCAATTTCACTGAATTCAAACGAGTTTCATTCCTGGCTACTAACACAATCACCGATTTTGGGGCAAATTTTGAGGCGAACTTCAAGGCCAAGCCTTCTCCGAAACCCCTGCTAGCCCCGGTTATCAAACAGAACGTTCTTCTATGATAAAATGAAGACATGGAGATGATCCGCAGGCAATGGAGTGGGTATTATATAAACTAAAGACTCTTCTAAATTACTATACGGATTTACACGCTTTACAAAATTAGGCTGCAAAGTTTTTAGTGTAAAATTTATAGCATTATAACGGAATACCGAAACAATTTCTAATTTTATTACAATTATATAATATAAAAATTTAAATCAAACGAAAATCTCGTTAAGTTTAACCTTAACGAAAAACATGAAAGAGAAACCTTTGGACCGCCTGGTGTTGTTGGTTCTTCCATCTAATTAGAATAATTTATGAATGGAAAATATTGGGAAAAGTGAAAATTGATCGAAATTTGTCAATTTATTTTATCAAAACCGTCCATGAAATAATGTTGCAAGTAAAATATTTGTATATGGCGGGAGATTTATGAAACGGGCGAGCCATAATGGTATTGTTAAATAATGGCATTTAGTGGCATTTCGTTTATATAGTATCTACGTTTGTAACTGTAGATATTTATGACAGATTTAACTTATTTTATTAATTTAGAGAGAGAGAGAGAGAGAGAGAGAGAGAGAGAGAGAGAGAGAGAGAGAGAGAGAGAGAGAGAGAGAGAGAGGATAATTAATACAATAAGGTTAATTCAATGTATTTAATATGTCATAATTATTTTCATTATTTATTAATTATTATAATAACGTAGAAATTAAAATATAACCCATTTGCCGTGTTTCATTACAAAAAACTTTCAAATAAATTAAAAGATAACAGATACCGTATATCTTAATGTATATAATTATATATTAACATTTATGACTGACGTAATTGTCGCAAAATTTGTTAATTTTAAACATTAAAGTCTGCAAACTGGCAATCCGGCGTCTGTTTTTGATGGGAAAACCTTGGTGAAACAGAAATAACATTTAGAATGAATTCACTTGAGAAGGTGGTTCTGAAACAAATTTTATGATGAATATTATCGAAAAAGGTAGATCTGAAACAATGTTCAAGATAAATTCGTCTTGAGAATGTAGTTCAGAAACAACTTTTTTGATGAATTTTCTTGAAGAGGTAACTATGAAAAAATTTTTATGATGAATTTTTTTGAAAAGGTAGTTCAGAAACAACGTTTAATACGAATTTGTCATAAGAAAGAAGTTTTTCCCCACCGCCATCCTAGTCAACTTCGTAATAATTCACATGTGATCCGGATTTAAAATTATCCTTCTCAACGATTTCGGCAAGTTTTTCTGCAGACTGTTCAGCTGTTATCATGGTGTTCTCGGGACCTGTAGTCAAGGTCAAGGTCACAAATGAAAAAAAAGACAAACAGTAAAATAGGGAGAAAGAAAGACAAAAAGTAAAATAGGGAGAAAGGAAAATTAAAAATTTCAAACAAACTTCATATAAAATTTCAATTAATGGTTTTGTCACATGATTTTTTAACATCTGTTCAATCTTTAATACTATTTATGCACGTATTAGGTTAACATTTATAAATTGATTCCTACACTAACTACCATTATTATTACCAAGACCAGCTCACAGACAACAAGAAACTCTGACCTGATGGTTTTATAAAACAAACCATGTCAGAACTCAGGTTACTTTCGAATCGAAAGTGTCACACTCGAACGACTTCAGAAAATTTTATATTATATATATGGAAATATATATAACGGATATTGTGATATCCATGATTATATATATACATATATAATTAGATATTATAATATATATATATATATATATATATATATATGTATATGTATGTACCTATACATGAGACTCAGGTAGCAAGTTAAGATTGCACGTACACCTGTATATGACACGCTGCTTAGTATATTCATGCAATTAAAATGTTCTCAGTATTTAAAAATCTTTTTTGATCTTTAATAAGTTAATATTGATGTTTAGTTAAGTGCCATTTGTTAGAAATAGTTTATAATTAGTTTTGGTATAAGAAAATGTCCTCAAAACCACGTAATGTTTAAGAAATGAGCTTAATTTATCGAAATGAAGCGCACAATATTGTTTAATCAAACGTAAACTTCGTCCATTAGACACCTAACTAATAAGTGCTTAAAAGTGAACGCGATCTTTTACATTCAAAATAATTTATTTATTTTTAAATTTGACGATCAAATTTAATATTTAATAAATTTTTACTGATGTAACTTTTTATTAATTTTTGATACGTTTGTTTTATCAATTTTTGTTAAAATCGGCGATTTTTTAAAAACAAAATTTTTGCCAAGTTATGAATGGAAGATGTCATGTTGTAAAGTCTCAGGTAATGTGGCTCCAGCAGTGTTCGCTTGGAGCATCCTCATTGTATGCACCGCCATCTTCTTCGTCTGCGCGTAAGATTTCACATCTATTCACTTTTTTTTATATTTAAATTAAAACACTTGTATTAATACAAAATATGATGCCATTGCTAAGAATGAATGAACAACAATAAAAATGAATGGAAGGGATCATGTTCATGATTGGATTATTAAATCAATTTTTATGACTTTTTTATTTAGTCATGAATTATGATTTGTCTTTTTTATGTAAAACACAAAACAGGTAACAAATTTTTGTGGTTGTCTACGGATTAAATATGTTTAATTATAAATAGTTTTTGGTTTTTTATATTAAATTATTAATTATCACAGACAATGATCATGATGTTATTAAGTTTTTAAAAATTTTTCCCAGGTCTGAGTTCCTGGTGGTGCAGTTGAGTCCGGTCTGTGTGGCATACGAAGCCATCATTGCAGTATTCCTCCTAATAAACTTTTTCAGATCTACCTTCAGTAATCCTGGAGTTTACCCCAGAGGTTTAATAGTTCTTTTGACATATTAATAAATGATAAAATTTGAAATAATTTGAAATAAATTAAACAAATCTTCTTATAAGAATTTTCTTATTTTATATATAAATCGAATTAAAAATGATTTTTTAATTAATTTGATAAAATTTAAAATAATTTGAAATAAATTAAACAAATCTATTTATTAGAATTTTCATATTTTATATGTAAATCTAATTAAAAATGATTTTTTAATTAATTTGATAAAATTTGAAATAATTTGAAATAAATTAAATAAATCTATATAGAAGAATTTTCATATTTTATATATAAATCTAATTAAAAATAATTATAATTAAATTAATTTAATGAAATTTACAGCTGAGGATGACGAGGTCAAGGCAGGTGATGCCCGCGCCCCACTGTTCAAAAACATCGACGTCAACGGGGTTCCTACGAGGTTGAAGTGGTGTCAGACGTGTCGATTCTACAGACCACCCAGGTGCTCTCACTGTAGTGTCTGCAATAAATGTGTCGAGGTCTGTCTGTCTGTCTTTTGGCATTTGTTTTATGAATTTTTAAATTATTTTAATTTAATTGTGGGTTAGAGATTTTTTAAAACTTTTACAAAAAGGTGTTTAAATGTTTTTTTTTAAGTTTTACAACAAACAAACAAATTTATCTTTTTATTGAAAAATTAGTCTTTTTAACTTTTGCCCGACAAAACAGTCATTTGATCATCACTGTCCTTGGGTGAATAATTGCATCGGTCGACGGAATTATCGTTTCTTCTTCTTCTTCCTCTTCTTCCTGACCATCCACATCGCCAACACCATGGGTTTTTCCATAGCCTATATTATCCATAATAGTGCTAACCTGGCAGAAGCTAGGGCCATTCTTCTGTGAGAAGTTTATCAGTATTTGTTTGAGTATCGTTGTTAATTATTTTTTTTAGATTTTGAAGAAATTTGTAATTAAGATTTGTCTATCGGATGTTTTTCATCTTGCAACTATCTCCATCACAACAAGCAAGCATCACTGCAACAACTACACCATCACAGTCACGTCATCACTATCATCATCATCGTCGTCGTATCATACCACATACCACCATCATCATCATCTCATCATCATCGTCACCATCTTAACAACATCATCATCAGGATCATCGTCATAGTGATATGTGTTCTGCTTTTCATCCCAATAACTGGTCTAATGTTCTTCCATGTCTATCTCATCTGTAGAGGAAGAACCACTAACGAACAGGTTTCTACAGCTTGTTATTGCCGTTGTAATTATTATTATTGTTTTTTTTATTTTTGTTGTTGTTATTGTTGTTGTTGTTATGTTATTATTTTATTATTTTTTCCCCATTAGGTTACTGGTAAGTTGAAAGGGGGCTTCAACCCCTTTGATAGGGGTCGTTGTACGAATTGCAAGAACACTCTCTGTGGCCCTATGTGGCCCAGGTTTGTAGAGTGGGTTATGATCAAGATTCATTCATTTATTTATTAATTTATCTTTTCATTCATTCATTTACCTGTTTGTTTGTTTGTCCATTTATTCATTCATTTGCATATTTATTTTTTTCTATATTCATTTCTTTGTTCATTCCTTCGTTTTTTTTTTGATTGATTGATTGGTTGGTTGATTAATTAATTCATTCATTCAATCATTCATTCAATCATTCATTCATTCGTTCATTCATTCACTTGTTCATTCATCCAATCATTCATTTAGTTTCTTGAGTAAAAGAGTCAAAAAATTGAAGAAGATAGATGCCATAGTTCTTGAGGAGCTTTTGCTTAAAACCCCCAAGCAACCTAAGGTTTATTATTATTGTTGTTGTTGCAACTGCTGATGTTGTTTTAATGTATGATTGGTTAGTTTTAATTTCAACTGCACGAACGACGTCATCTCATCTTTTTTCTTCTTCGCCATCCCCTCCAGAAGTCGAAATCCCTAACTAGAGAAGACAGCGACGACATCAAGGTCCCGATCGACAGCAATGCAACGATGCAACAACAGCAGTCCGTATCATTGCTGGGGCCTATAAATAGCGCGGGAATCTTAGGCACCGCCTCCTTCATGGGGCCCAGTTCTATTTTAGGTAGCAGTGGAAATACCCGCCACGCTCTATCTACGTCATCCGTGTTCAACAACCCGAAACCCGTTGGTAGCAGCAAAAACCGGAGTCAAAGTGGCGATAGGTTGGATCGACCCGACCCTCGCCCCCACCACCAACAAAATGGCGAGTACGACGGAGATGTCGCCAAACTGAAAGGAGGTAAGTCGCTGGAAAACCTGCAACCAACTTCGCCGTCGTCTGGTTCCAGGCTGGCTTCATATAGAGTTAAAAACATGGATGCAGCCAGGGGTCGAGTTGGTGCTGGGGAGGTTAGTGGAGGCACTAATTTAGGGACGGGAATGAGGTTTAATGACTTCGATCAGCAGGTCAACAAATCCAGCAAAATGAGGAGTTTCTCTACTGATGAACGCTACAAAGATGCCGCGAGTGATGAGAGGGGATTCGAACCCGGGACCAGCGGCAGAACAGCGACTAATAAGGCAGCAGTACCAGGCAACATGTACATTAAGAATGGCAGGCAGGGTGGTAATAATAATAATAAAAATAATAATTTACTGAATCGATCTCTTGATCCCAATTACCTGAACATGCAGTTGCAGGCCACTTCATTCAACAACAACAACAACAACCATAATAATAATAATAGTGATAATCAAAATAGCAGATATAACCAGTATAATATCCCTGAGTTTAAGAAACCTAAGCCAACAATGAGCACATCAAAGACTTTGAACATCCTCAACTTTAGCGACCTAGATCGAGAAATCGAGAGTAAAGATGTCAGTTCCGCCAGTGATAACCGTTTCAAATTTCCTTACTCGCCATCCGTTGATATCTCGGATGATAGGATATCAAAGATTTTAAATAAGAGCAACAGAGGGCCACTAAAGTTTGAGAGACCTACAGCCACTACAGCTGCCGGCAAGCAAGCTGAAATAGATTTTGGGAATTTCCAAAAGTACGGGAAGAATCGAAGTTTCGATTTAACTTCAACTGGAAGGAAGGATATTTTTACTGTGGATTTGCCCATGGATGATGTTGCTCGTTATTCAGTACCCACAAACAACAACAACAACAACAACAACAATAATAATATGAAAAATATGAAATTGAATAAAAATAATAATAATAAATTGAATAAAAATAATAATAATAATAATAGTTATGAGAGAAACGTATTTGCATCCTTCATTCCAGCAATGTCAGCAGCAACTGCAGCAACATCAGGAAAAATGGCTGACTCATCTTTCTACTTTGTTCCATCACCTGCTTCTGATGTTGATGATCATGTCAGCCTGATCAGTAACAGAAACGTCCCCACCAGCAACAAGAACAACAGCGGCAGGTTGCCAGCATCAGCAGCAGCTGCTGCAACTACCACAACAACAACAAAATACTCCTTCCAACAATTCCACAACAGCAAACAACAACAACAACATCCACTCTCAGCAATGAAACTCAACACGACAGCAAACACATCATCAACGGCCGAAAGCGAAACCGAAAGTGAAAGTTCCACATTCCGGGGAATCCCGAACATACCTGGCACCGCCAAAAGGCCATCCTCGTTCGTTACAGCCCTTGACACCAGCGATGAACTTGCGAGACATGACGTCAACAAAGGTCGGAGGTCAAGCAGGGCGCACTACATACTAACCTCACTGCTGTTGCCCCACGTCGAGAGAGAAGATGAAGAGGATGAAGATGAAGATGGGGCTGTAGCCGCTGGAAAAAGAGCCGTCGAGATTTCCGTGTGAACGTTATTGTAATCTAATCTAATGTAATCTAATGTAATGTGACAAAAATTAAATGTAATGTCATGTAATTTCATGTAATGTTTTTAGTTTACGCAATGTTTGCTTGCCCGTGCAAATGTTGAGTCCTACATTGTACGTGTGTGTACATTTATCATTGACCAATTGAATGAGTGAGAGAAGGAGTGAGAGAACTTGCGAATAGAGGAATGAAAGAATGAATGTGTGAATGAATGATTGGGTGAATAGATAGATGAATTGAATGAACGAGTGGAAAAAAAATGATCATGAGTTTTAATATCACTGTGTTAGTAGTTAGTTATTGAGTTTTAGATGTTTCTTTCAGAATTACATGGGTTACACTTTTTAATTTCATTTTATCTTTTAATTCATTCATTCATTCATTCATTCATTTAATTATTTATTTATTCATTCATTCATTCATTCACTCATTCAAAATATTTGTTTTTGAGTTAGCACGGTAATCAAAAGACGACGATTTTTGTGACATAATATATTTAGAAAAGTGTGGGCTGTATATATACATGTATATTTTTGTACGTCTAAGTTTGCGTGTGTGTATGTGTATGTTTATATGTACGTGTGCGTGCGTGTGTATGTGTGTGTGAGTGCGTGTGTGTGTGCGTATGTGTAGATTATTTTATAGTTTTTTTAGCGTATAATTCAAGTTTTAAGATGCTTCTTCACTCAATTGATTAACGTATTCATTACGTTATACGAAAAGAATTACATATGTTTATATTTTGTCTTTATGAAATAATCATGATTATACACACACACACACACACACACACACACACACACACACACACACACACACACACACACACACACATATATATATATATATATATATATATATATATGTGTGTGTGTATAAATATATGATGACTAAATGTATAATCTTAGTTACAATGATAACAATAATTGTATTTATTACTGTTTAATTATTAAGTTTTATTCCATAATTAATAAAATCTGTGATTCATATCATTCCCAAACATAAACATTCGCAAAAACACACACTTGCCACACAAACACACACTACACACATGCACACATACATAGCTTGTATATTCTTAATTAATCAATCACTCAATCAATTAATTGATTGATTGATTAATTGATTGATTGAATCAATTGATGTCTCTTTAGTTGCACTTTTTTAATTGATTAGTTTACGATCCTTGTAAATATCTATTGTTTGAAGTAACTATTAAAAGAAATTCACTTTAATACTAGTAGTAGTAGTAGTAGTAGTAGTAGTAGTAGTAGTAGTAGTAGTAATTAATTAGCGTAGTAGTAGTAGTAGTAGTAGTAGTTGTTGTTGTAGGTGTGTAGTAGTGGCCGTAGTAGTAGCAGCATTAGCAGCAGGATGGAAGCTGAAGCACGGAGAAAAATGGAGAACTTGCTGACATGAAGAGAAGAAGTCACTGACATGAATAGTAGTAGTAATAGTAGTAGCAGCAGCGGTGTAGTAGTAGTAATTAGTAGAAGTAGTAGTAGTAGCAGCAGCAGTAGTAGTAGCGGCAGTGTAGTAGTAGAAGTAGTAGAAGTAGCAGCAGTAGTATTAGCACAAATGTCAAAGAAATCTCGCTAAATTTTGTGAAATTTTAAATGAAATCGTAATCGTTATGTTTAGTTTTATTTTTCTTTTTTTTTGATGGACGTGTTTGTTGTTATTATTATTTGTTATAATTATTATTTTATTATAATTATTATTTGTTTTTATTATTCTGATAGAGATGTTCATACTTTAATTCCGTAGAGTTTGATTCCATTGTTTTTATTATTTTTCTTTGAAATTTATTTGAAAAAAGAGATTATTTTATTGGCTAGAAGAAAAATGTCTGATATTAAATAATAATAATAGTAATAAAATAATAATAATAAAATTAATAATAATAATAATTTATTAATAATTTCTTAGTTTTAATTATATTTTTTATTATATATATTATATACATATATAGGTTTTGCATTGATATGAAGAAGTGACAATATCATCATCTTGTCATCACCATCATTACAATGTTATCTTCATTCACTCATACATATGATGTTATTAAGACTTATATATATATTATATATATATATATATATATATATATAATTTTTATGAATTTTATAAAAGTTTTTTGGAAAACACATTTTTTTTGGAACAGATTGCGGGGACAGTGTCTAAAGTAGTTTTTGGTTTCATATCAGCAACAACGTCATTGTTGAGTTACATTTCTAATTATTCGCCTACGTCATCATCATCTTCGTCGTCTTCGTCTTCATCATAATTGTCATATTCATCATCACCACCATCGTCGTCTTCATCATTTGATCTTCGTAATTGTAGAGCCTGCAGGTTGGTTTCTTTTCACTCTGTACTTGCTCCCGACTGTTTGTATGTGTAAATGTTTGTTTGTATGTACATGTGTGCGCGTGCGTGTGTTTGTGCATGTGTGCGTGTATGTATTTGTGCGTGTATGTATTTGTGCGTGTATGAGTGTTCTTCGGTTTTTATGTATGCACAGTACAAGTATAAGGCACATTCCATGCAGAGCGATTATGCCCAACACGCCCGCACGCCAGCCAGCCAGCCGACCAACTCACGTTCGATAAGAGATGGAGACGGAAACGGATAAAGTAGCAAGTAATCGTCGTCGGTCATCATCAGCGACGAGCAGCCAGGGATGTACAGGCAGAGGTTAAAGGTTAAACATTTGAGACGCCGAAAGCAGATTTTGCCGAATGAAATTTTGGGTAGCATTACGTCCTGGTAGTTTGCCATTACCAGAGTTTTGTAGCGTTCGACTAAAATGTATCTGTTTAGTGTTTACTTTGTTGTATTACAAGATCGTTGTACATACGATTACACACACGCACACATACGCGCAACTTACCTATCCCTCTCCAATATAACAAGAAAGAGTATGAATAGGATGAACATGGCGATCAAGATGGCTATAAACTCGACGTTCACGTAAGCCAACGTGGCTGAATACTTTCCGGAATTTTCCAACTTTCTTCGTCGCCTGTCCAGCTGCCTCGCCTCCTCTTCCTCTTCCATCTGGTTATACACGGATTTTCTGCGCTTTTCTGCATGTTTTTAGAATTTTATTTGATTATTTTTTTGTTTTTCTTTGTTCATTTATGTCATTTATTTTATATTCAAGTTTGTATATGTTCGTATCTTTACTGAAGTTTGTATATGTTTGTATACTGAAGTTTGTATATGTTCGTATCTTTACTGAAGTTTGTATATGTTCGTATCTTTACTGAAGTTTGTATATGTTCGTATCTTTACTGAAGTTTGTATATGTTTGTATACTCAAGTTTGTATATGTTCGTATGTATACACAAGTTTGTATATGTTCGTATGTATACTAAAGTTTGTATATGTTTGTATGTATACAAAGGTTTGTATATACACTTTAAAAAGGCCTACTTTGGCACCTGCTGCCATAGTACCCATCAGTACAGATGCATTTGAAGCCGAAGACGGACTTGGAACGCACGCACCTGCCTTCGTGTTGGCAAGGGTGGGTCATGCACTCCGCAGCAGCTGATTGGTCGAAATAATTGGGTCGTCAATGGTGACGTCATTGGGGTACATGTGATGCAAAGTAATGTGTGTGCGTGTATGTTTGTGTGTGAATATTATCTTTTATATCCTTTTTAAATATCACAGACACACACATTCATACTCACACACACATACACTCACATTCATACACACACACATTCATACACACACACATTCATACTCACACACACACACATACACACACATTCATACTCTCTCTCACACACACATACACACACATTCATACTCTCTCTCACACACACACACACAAATACATACAGTATTCGCAATTGGCACCATAGTAGCCAGACGCACAATAGCATTGGTAGACATAATCTTCACCAACAGTCCAGACACAACTACCGCCATTTAGACAAATAGCTTTTTCACATGGATTTATGTGAATCTTTTTTCGTTTATGCTTTTTATTGTTGTTGCTGTTATCATTATTGTTGATGTCGTCGTTGTCGTTGTGGTTGCGGAAATGTTTGTAGTAGCTGCGTTTTGTCTTGTTGTTTGTGTGCTTGCTGATGTTGTTGGCGTAGAAGTAGGAGTTTAACATTGTTTTGCTGTTGTTGTTGATTATGTGTTTGTTGTTGATAATGTTGTTTATGTGCCTGTTGTTGTCGATGTTGCTGTTCTTTCTATGTAAACCATCATGGCGATGACGTCGATAATTATGATTTGTATTGCTTATTAGATGTCGGAACGATTTTCTAATAATATTATAATTTATTATGGTAAAATTATTACTTATATTTATGTTATTAATATGGTTTTTTATATTATTATTATTATTATTTATAATTACGTCATAATTAGTTCGAGATAAAGGATGTAGTATACTATTACCGAATTTATCGGTTTCTGAATCGGTAGTACTCGATTCTTTCGGATCGGACGAACCGACATTGGAATATACCGTAGAGGAATGTATTAGAAATAAATACAAAATACAGATTAACATAGCTGTCTGCGAATTTTGGCGTATGTATGCGTGTGTTTGTATTTTTTCTTTGTATGCGTATGTTTGTATAGTTGTATGTGTGTGTGTGTGTGTATATATACTAAAGTGTGTGTTATGTATACTGAAGTTTGTATATGACAAGCTTATAATCCTTATTCACTAATTTGGAAATAAATTGCAAATGACTTTTAAACAGGTTAAAATGAATTTTGTCATTAGTATGTTTACACACATATCTGTTTATTTACATGCATGCATTCAAAACGTCACTCGTGTGATAGAATATACAGCTAAAACGCGATAATGAGCAATAGTATTATCACATACACACACAAACACACACGAACACACACACACGAACACACATGCAAACACACACACATACAAACACACACACACACATACAAAACACATACACTCATACAATTGACATCTCGATAATAACTACAATCTACCTTCTCGTTCCAAGTGCTCGTTTCGAACGAAGGTGCGTGCTTATTGGGGAGGGTGTATCTAATCAACGCATGCTTCTTACATACGCATATATGTATTGAGAGAGAAAAAGAGAGAGAGAGAGAGGTGGAGAGAGAAAAAGAGAGAGAAGTAAGAGTGAAGCATTAACTCAGAAAAACTAGTCATTTGTGTAGAAAATTTGATATAATTTATAAATAAAATGCTGAAATATTGACAAATTAAATAAATAAATAAATTAATTAATTAATAACAATTAAATTAAACACATGAACCAATTAAATTTTACAATGAAATCTTTCTTGGTTAATACCATTCTCATTATTTGGTGTCTTCACGGTAAGCTTATTTTTTTTTCGATAATAATGATAAGTAGTAGTAGTCACAGTAGTAGTAGCAGTAATAGTAAAAGTAGTGGTAGTAATAGTAGTAGTAGTCGTAGTAGTAGTAATAATTATTCTTATCAATTTTGTCTGCTTTATACTTGAGGTATCTAATTTACAATACAGAAATTAATTGCCTGAGAAGGAGCCAACAACAACATCATCAGCAACAACATCAGCATCATCAACAGCAACATCGACAACAACATCATCATCTACAACAACAACATAATAAACAACATCAGCCACAACAGCAGCACCGGCAAAATTATCCTCACTATTTCAAAAAAATAACAGCTACTACAACAACAACAATTACTACAGCTGCTGCTATTACTACTTCTACTACTGATATTACTATTGATGCTAAAATCACAGCATCATTATCATCATCGCCATCATCATCATCATCCTATCACGGAATCGAAGTTAACGATATTAACAATGAAGACAACAAACAAGTAAATTACAATGGAGACGATAATGATAATGATGATGACAACAACAACAACAATAATAACAACAATAAAAAAAACAACAATAATAATCATAGCAACAACAACAACAGTAACATGAACGACGATGTTGATAATGACGACGACGATAATAATGATGATGATGATGATGGTGGTGGTGGTAGTGATGATGATGATAGTGGTGGTAGTGATGATGATGGTGGTGGTGATAGTGATGATGATGATGAAAAAAAGATAGAGAGATCGTACGAGCAAAAAATAAAAAAAAACTTGCTGGAATGTTACGATAATACCACAAAACCGTTCAGTGGAACCGGGCAGAGCGTTTTGGTTAATTTGGCCATATCCTTATATCACATTCTCGATACTGTGAGATATTATTATTGTTATTATTTATAATAAATAATATTATTATTTATTATTATTATTGTTATTGATATTTATTTTTATTGTTTTATTTGTTTGTTTGTTGTTGCAGCTACTGCTGCAGCCGCTGTTGCTGTTAAATGGATGAATGAGCGAGTGGAGATTGAATGTATGTATGAATGAATGCGTGAATGAATGAAAGAACAAATGAATGGAAGAAAAATGATTGACGGAATTATTAATATACGTTTTGAATGTGCCAAAATTTGGTTGTCAAACGCTATTTTTATCTAGCAGTAACAGTTGTAAGAAGCCATTGTATGCAAATTCTTTTCTGTATGTCTGCATGTATGCGTGTGTGTGTGTCTGTCTGTCTGTGTCTGTGCGTGTGTATTTTTTAGCGTACGTTTGTACTTTGTTTATTTTTCATTAAATTTTGAAGTCACTTTTTAAAATTTAATTTTCCGTAGAACGAGAAAGAGCAGACGATAACCTGCCTGCTGGCCGTCAGACAGGTTATGATTATGATGATAGCACGAGTGAATGAATGAATGAATGAGTGAACGAACGAACGAACGAACAAACGAACGAACGAATGAATGAATGAATGAATGAAGGAACAAACAGACAGACAAACAAACAAACAAACACACAAATAAAAAGAAATGGACAGACGATCACCTAACTTGGGAAAAGGGAACGTACAACAACCTCGACACAATAATGATGCCAATCACGAAAATATGGAAGCCAGATATCGTCATCTCCAACTTGTAGGCAGTCTCATTTTTTTTAGAATCATTCTTAAAATTAAGTTTTTCCAAAAAACAGCAACAGACAGACATACAAACAAACAAACACAAACAAACACACACAAACAAACACAAACAAACACACACAAACATACATACAAACGGACAACGTTAAACGAACAAACGACATTGAAAATAACAACACTTTCACAACAACTACACCAACAACACAAACAAACAACACAAACAAACATACAACACAAACAAACACCGACAAACACAGTGCTGGAGACAAATTCAACGATTACATACCGACGAACGCAATTATATCATCAGACGGAACAGTTCTTCACATGTATCCAGCCCTAGTAAAAACCTCATGTGCACTGGATGTCAAATTTTTTCCATTTGATAGCCAAAGTTGTAAGCTTGAGTTCATCTCGTGGACTTACAACGGGAACGAGTTAGAGGTGGATTACAATGAAAGTTATCCAAATTTTATTTACTATAATTCTGAAAATCAGGTTTGTTTGTTTGTTTGTTTGTTTGCTTGGGTGTCTTTGTATGTTTTTGTAAGTTTGTTTGTTTGCTGGTTTCTATGTATGTTTATATATCTGCTTGTTGGCAGGTTCGTAATGTTTCTAATGTGTGTGTTCATTTGTTTTTAAGTTTATTTTAAAATGTAAACTATTTAAAATTAAAAAAAAACAACTTTGCTTATTGCTCTTGAACGCGCAGCGGCGTTTAAAATATTGAAATTAAAATTATTATTCTATTAATTATCGTTAGGAATGGGCTGTAGAAAAGATAACACAGGAACGCCACACGAAGCAATATTCCTGCTGCCCCGAGCCCTACTACGACTTGACCTTTGACATTCACTTGAAAAGGGGCAGCCTATTCTACGTCATCAACCTCATCACCCCCTGTTTCCTCATCTTTATCATCTCATTTCTGGGATTCTTCCTTCCCGTTGAGTCCGGTGAAAAAGTGAATTTGGAGATAACCATCTTGCTGGCCCTTGTGGTGTTTTTGCTGATGGTTGGAGAGACCATGCCACCCACGCAAGATTGTTTCCCTATCTTAGGTTCGGGTCATGGTGTACAAGTTTTTTTTACTTTCCTTATTTAAGAAATTTATTTCAATGGTTTAGTTAGTTTGATTCAAGACGACATCTATATCTTCCGATATTATTTTGAATGAACGAACGAGCATCTAGTCTCACAGATTTAAAATTAAATATTGATAGCTTTATTTTTTTCTTGGTTTGACTCAATTTAACAGATTTTACATAGGCCTTACTCTATAAATTCAGCTCACTGATCAAATTGCGCACAATTCATTACAAAAATAGAAAAAATTTATTTGTGTTTATAATAAAGCACAGAACAAATTACTCCAACCTTAGGCATGTTTTTCGCTTCAACAATGATAATGGTAACCATAGCTCTGGTCATGTCTGTGATCGTCACCAACATTTACTCGAAGAAAAATCTCTTCCAACGCTGTCCACCATTCTGGGTTAGCCTGGCCTACAGGTTTTATAACGTGAAGAAAATTCCAAAGCCGAAAATTAGGAAGAAGAAATCGAGAATTCTGAGAAGTAGGCAGAAATTTTTGAAGTTAGAGAGGTCGGTGAGAGTTACTGATGGTTACAGAGGTGATGGAAATGAAGATGAAGTTGCCAGAGTTGGTCTGAAACTGGAAGGTCGATTTGGTTTAGAATTTATCACATTTAAACACAAAATTCCTATCCTCACAACGAATAATTTTTTCAAAATATTTTACCCCACTTTTTAGATTTCACGTACACTGAGATATTGGAGATAGAATGGAAGATGGCAGCCGAATGTACCGACCGATTGTTCTTCTGGATCTTTTTCCTCTTAAGCATAACAGTCAGCACGGTCCTTGTCTACGAAATGAGACCGGTCATTTCAACTATGTTCGGTAAAACTGACAACGACGATATTAAAAATTCGACCGATAAATAACCGACAAAGTCAATTATTGACGTTTTTACGTAAAAACATTTAAAAGTCGTTAATTTACTAAATTAAAAATCATTTTACGGTAAAAAATGATCAAACGTATTTATTTACAAACATTCATTCTTAATATTCGAACAAGGCATATAAATAAAATTCAAGTTGTAAGTTCTTCAACGAATAAACCATATACAATACCGGATTATAATTGCTCATGCCACCTTACTGTCAATTCTATAACAAATTAAACATTCCATATAATAAATTTTAACAAAATCTGCACCAAACATAGAAACATAAACAAGATAGATACTCAACAGACTATTTTCCAATCTTAATTACACTCTTATCTACAGAGATAAGTAAAAGAAAGACAACAAAACAGATTAAATCACCATTAAGAGCTAGAAAAATTAGGATTATAATTAGGATTATAATTAATAATTACAAAAAAAGCTTTCAAAAAGTCGAATTGTCAAAAGAATTCAAATCCAAATCGATGTAATCATCTTTAAGAATTCCTTTCCTTAGCAACTGGAGTTTGATTATGGAATCTTTCGACATATCACCTTTATCCTTCTCATCTTTCAGTCTGGGTTCTACACCCGAATTCTGTTGATGCCGTTGATGGTGTTGCTGTTGTGAGAAGCCGTTTGTAATTAGTGTCTTTCTAGTAAGTTCTAGATTATTCTCGTCTGACTTTGACTGTGCCACCAGTTTAACAGTGCAGCCCTCATTAATTAGGTTTCTCTCGTGAGCCAATGCTAACTTACTGACAATCTGCCTCTCAACCTGGATGGAAATTTGACAAAAAAAAAAAAACAAATTATTGAACTAAAATATTTAGAAAAAACATTATTATTAAAAAATAATGATTACAATGATAGTTTGTTGTTAGTTCGTTCGTTTGTTCATTAATTAAAATGATAGTATCCTTAATACAGCTACTAGTTCAACTACGCTGCTACCACTTGCCGCTAACTACTTTTACAGCTGCTACTACTACTTTTACAGCTACTACTACTACTTTTACTACTACTACTACTACTGCTACTATCACCAATACAACTACTATTAACACTAATCGTTTAACAGTAATAATAATAATTAATAAAATGAGTAATCGTTTAATAATAATTAATAAAATGAGTAAAAGTGAACTTCGTGTTTGATTGATCTAGCGCCGTAGTGGACGTCGTAGCCGTCGGCAAGCATGTCGACAACTTTCCGATCCCAAGTTAGTTCTATGTTGTGTTTTGTCTTTGCCTTGAAAATCAATCAGACGAGTAAACAATTAATTGATTGATTTCATTGAGCAATTATCGCAAATATTAATCAGATATCTGATTAATTTATAAAAATTAATAAGAGTAAATAGAAAAATAACAAAAAAACACACCCTCTCTGCCCACAAGTTCATCTCCTTTACGACAAGTTTCGTAAGCTCTGAGCGAGAAAATGGTACAAAGTAGACAATCTCATTTATTCTGCCTAGAAACTCATCTCTTCTGAAATGGTGCTGGAATAATTATAATAATATAATAATAATAATTATGATAGCCATAATAATATTAATTATAATAATAATTATTATTATTACGTTGAATTAATAATCACCTTCAACATGGGTTGTATGACTGATTCTTTGAAGTGCTTTGATATGTGGACGCTTTCGTCTGTGTCAAGCTCATCTGACCAGTTAATATAATTAAAATTATTATAATATAATAACAATAATTATTATCGTCATCATCATCATCATAACCGCTATTATCATCATTATCATCATTTTGAACAAGTAGCATGAAGATAATTTTGATCAACTGATCAATTTTTGAAAAGGTTGACCAACAAACCAATTAACCAACAATCAGTCGGTCGGTCGGCCAGCCAGTGAGTCAACCAGCCAATCAAATCAACCAACCAAGGCCACCAATCATCTTATTGGCTCTAACAAGCTCCGCCTCCTTTCTCAGTTGCGTGGCATAATCCGCAATCTCCTCGCTGGCCAGGTTGGAGGTCATGATGAAGATGGCGTCCTTGCATTCTATCGTTTTTCCTTTTCCGTCCGTCAATCTGCCCTTTGGTTAATGGCGATGATGATGATGAAGAAGAAGATGGCCTTCGTTGTTACGATGATGATGTTGAAGATGATGATGGTGAAGATGACGATGAAGATGATGGCTGTGATGATGAAAAAGATGGTGAAGATGATGATGGTGAAGATGATGATGAAAAAGATGGTGAAGATAATGGTGAAGATGATGAAAATGATAAAGATGATGACAATGATGACTGCGATGATGAAGAAGAAGAAGAGTGCGAGCGTGATGTTTGTGAAGGTGACGATGACGATAACAATAACAATTACAACAATAAAACAACAGCAATAAGCACTCTTTCACTCATTCATTCACTCCTTCACTCACTCATTCACTCACTTCGTCAAAGAGCTGCAACAAAACAGTCAATATATCGGGATGGGCTTTTTCAATTTCGTCGAATAGGACGACAGAATTGGGAAATTGGGTCAACTGTTTGGTTAGTTGGCCACCTTCTTCGTGACCTACATAACCTGGCGGTGACCCTATGAACTTTGACACCTTTATTGATATCATTAATTATTGCTCTTATCAATAAGTTATGAATCATTAACTAATCTAAAATGACCTTAGGCTGATAGATATGGATTGAGTGAACGAGTGATTGAAAAAATGAATGAATAAATGAACGAGAACGAAAGAACAGATGAATGAATGAATTAATTAATTTATGTAAAAACAAAACTTGGGGAAAACCTCGTGTTTTTGTTGATATTCAGACATATCCAAACGTATAAAACTCTGTGAATGAATGAATGAATGAATGAAAAATAGAATAAATGATTGGATAAATGAATGAATGAAAGAATGAATGAAGAGGTATTCACGTTAGCCAACATCACACAGGCACACTCACATTTTTAGCTTTCTTATGCAGGTAAGTGGCGACTTGTTTAGCTAGCTCTGTTTTGCCTGCAAAATTAAAAGGCTCTTTAACAACAACAACAACAACAATAATAATAACAATTATTATTATTATTATTACTGACCAATGCCTGATGAGCCAAGGAATAGTAGGACGAGCGGATGGTCTTCGTCATACCAGCCATTCTCTTTCCTCCTAACAGCTGGAGTAGTGATGATGATGATGACGATGTTGATGATGATGACGATGACGTAGATGTAGACGATGATGATGATGACGATGACGTAGATGTAGACGATGATGATGACGATGATGATGACGTCGATGCTGATGACGATGATAACACAGGTAGATAGATGATCGTAAGTAAGTAAGATAATGATGACGAAGAGGATGATAAAAATAACAACAACAATTACAACGACAACAACAACAATAATAATAATAATATCAATAAAAATAACAATAACAACCAGCGGCCACAGTGTTAATGGCAGCCTCTTGGCCGATGATCTCTTGCTTCAACCTCCTCTCCAGTGGAAACCTTCGCCTCTCCTCTGCCTCCAATTTTAGTTGCTGTTGTTTGTACTGTTGTTGTTGTTTATTATTATTATTATTAATGCCGTTGTTGTTGTTATGATTATTGTTGTTGCCGCTGTTGTAATCATTGATTTCAAAAAACAATGAAGATGAACGTAAGAAAGAACGACATACAAACATAGAACATACATACAAACCAATAGTGAAGCACACATACAAACATACACACAAACAAACATGTACAGTACATACATACAAACAAGTAAGCGAACAAACATACAGACATACATACATACAAACCTGCAATTCATATTTATCAAGCAGTTGTTTCAAGTGAGCATCTTGCGTATATGCCACTGGTTTATGGCCAGAATCATTCTCCTTTGTTGGGTCAGCACCTTTCAATCAATCATTCATTCATTCAATTATTCATTCGTTCTTTTATTCATTCAATCATTCTTTCATTCAAACAATCAATCAAAAAATTAGTTGAATCATCTAACAATTTGTCAGTCGTTAGCTGCTGCCAGCTAGCCAGTTAGTCCACCAGTCAGTCAGTCAGTCAACCAACTCCTCCTCACTCACTCACTCACTCACTCACTCACTCACTCAATCAATCAATCAACCGGCCAACCAACCAGCTTTCAGCAGGGCCTCAATAATATTATCCACCCCCAGCAAAACGGCATAGTGCAGGCTGGTAAATCCTTTGAACGTTGCTCGGTTGTTCAACCAGTTACAAAATTCATCATCTCTCGTGATTAGGACTTGATTAGGGACAACAACAACAACAACAACAATAATAATAATAATAATGATAATAATAATGATAATAAAAATAATACCCACTATTATTAAAACAAACCAACCAACCGTGAAGCGAGTTGAGTTTCTTCTCCTTGGCCATAGAGTAAACGTTAGTGAAGTCATCCCCAATGTTGGGGTCCGCCCCTGCCTCTAGTAATGCCTGAACTGACCTGATTGTTAAATTAGGTCATGAATAAATTGAATAAACTGCATTGATGTAAGTAACGAAATATGATTTGACATAACAACAATACCAGGATTAAAAATTCAACAAAATAACGTCAATAATAATAACAATAATAATCCTAAATATAATAAAAATAATAATATATATTATTATTAAAATAATTATTTACCTATAATTATTAATATAATAATAATATTATTATATAATATAATATATAATATAATAATATATATTATTATTAAAATAATTATTTACCTATAATTATTATTAACGACAGCAACATGAAGTGCAGTCCACCCGAGTTCATGCTTTTTATTAACATCCAAGCCAGATTTTGTTAACCTTTATTATTATTTCAATATTTTATAATATAATTAATAAAATATTTAGTAGAAAGAAAATGGAGTAAGTTTGATGATGTGAGAGAATGTTTAATGGTTAAGGTACTCAGTCCTCTTTTTAACACTGAATTGCATTGCTGTATTTGTACATATGGTACATTAGCGTGAGTCATACAAAATTACAACAAATGCACTGTGTGTTTGTTGTTAGTTGGTGTTTCAAAAAAAAGAAGAATTTTAAAATTAATAAAAACACACACACACACACATATACACATGTACAATTGTACACACACATACATGCGTACACACACATACACACATGTATATATATACTAAATCATATAGTCTTTATTTATATAGTATAGAGATGAGATGAGAAAACCTTTTTATATCATCAGCGCTATCATACTTGGCTGCATTAAACAAATGACTATCTGGTGAATAGATATAAGAATTGTGATAAATTAAGTAGTCAGAAGAATTTACTGTTTTTTTTTAAATTTATTTTAGTTTTAATAATCTAACTTAATATTAAATTCAATTCAATGATATTTAATAAATTATTTTATGACTAGAAAAAGTCAAGATAAAAATTTGAATAAAGTATACATACAAATTTGAAAAACGTACATATGGCGAAGTCGTTTTCTTTGCAATAGGCCACGAGAAAGCCTAGAGCAGAAGCTGCTGATAATGACGAAACATTGAGAAATTTCTTGAATCTATTATTAGTATTATTACAAGAACTAAATCTCAACGGAATTGTGACAAAATTTAATTTTCTTAAAGTTAATTTATTTGAGTTGAATGGCGTTTTAGTTAGACTAAAATATTTATTGAAAAATCTTAAAAATTGACGCATTTTAGCGTTTAAATAAGAAGATTTCTACATTTACTTTCAAGGTTTAAAAATTAAGTGAACAATGTTTACCTTACTTTTAATTTATCTATTATCGCTTTGGATGTTTAAAAATTGTATAGCGCTTAATATTATACAGACTGCGAAGCAAATTTCCTAGCAGAATTGTTTTAGCTTTATTCTGGGACGAAAAAATAAAAAAAGAACTTGTTCTTCTAAGCAGCTAGACAGATATTAATGCCTGTAAAAAGACTTTTCTCTTTAAAATATTCAAACTTGTCAAGTGTTTGTTAATGGATAGAACGTGTGTGCTTTTGATAATGTGGCCCTGAGTGGATTGCACCCAAGAAAATAACAAAAAATACAAACAGATAAATGGGCAAAAATGCAAAAACGCCCAAAAAATCGTAAAATATATACACTACGAGAAAATAGTTAAGCAAATCAGCATTTGTATGTCATTTTGTTACTTTCTTATTGTTAATATGTCACTGGTGGGCAAACTTTTTGCTGTGAGGGCCGCATTGAGAACTATTTTACCTTTACATATGTATTTAGATAACAAATTTTTTCGACCCAGAGTAGATTTTTTTCAAGATTTGTTGTTCCTTTTGTGTCGTAATGTCTTGCTGACGGTTTTTTTTGCGAAGACAACGCGGGCCGCATAAAATAGCTTCAGGGCCGCGTGCGGTTTGTCCACCCCCGTTATAGGCTATTATAGAATATAACGAAAATAATAGTCATATTAATAAAAGAGTGGCCCATTTATTTTTACTGTATTAATAATCTGTATTTTTACTTTGCCCATATCAAGTACATAAATGTTTTTTCTAACTCTTCACATAAATAAGGTTAAACTTATTAAAAGTGGTTCAACTATAAAGTGATTTGCAATGTATGTATGTATGTATGTATGTATGTATGTATGTATGTATGTATGTATGTATGTATGTATGTATGTATGTATGTATGTATGTATGTATGTATGTATGTATGTATGTATGTATGTATGTATGTATGTATGTATGTATGTATGTATGTATGTATGTATGTATGCATGTATATGTAATCCAATAATTTGGTTTACCAGATGAGATATCCTTTAGACGAGCGGATATGAAAATTGTTCTATGAATGTAGGAATACAAAATGTATACTTACATGTATGTTTTCCTGTATGTGTTTGTGTGTGTGTGTGTTTGCGTGTGTGTGTGTGTGTGTGTGTGTGTGTGTCGGCAAGTGTACTTTGTAGAACAAAAAATCACAAGAAAGAACACATAAAAACCTTTTTAATTATTATTATTTTTGTTGTTATTATTATTGTCACTACCGTCGTCATCATCATCATTGTCGTCATCATCGTTAAACCATTAAATTCTTTTTTGTTTTATTTTGTTTTGATGAATAGTTCTCCTCCTTTGATCATTCGTTTAATTAAAAAAAATTTTCTTGAAATAACTTTATTTCGTGAATTGAATTATATATAAATAATTTCTTTCTCTTCCCCTCTCTCTCTTTCTCTCTCTCTCTCTCTCTCTCTCTCTCTCTCTCTCTCCTATAACCATTTGTTGACGCTACTTAAATAAGATTAATTACTTTATATGATCATTGTGTTTACATTAGACTTTTTTACTTCGTTTTTAAAGTCTTGATAGCATCATGATCGAAAAAAATGAGAGAGAGAGAGAGAGAGAAAAGAGAGAGAGAGAAAAAAAAGAGAGAGAAACAGAAAAAGATATACTATAAAGAGAGAGAGAGAAAGAGGGTGGGGAGAAGAGACTATTTTGCAAGCATTGATATCAATCAATCATTCGACATGAGTTGTACTTTTTTGCTCAATCAATTTATTATGCACATAAGCTTTTTCATCATTGTAATTATTAATAATTATTATTATTATTATTATTATTATTATCACCATTATTTATTAATTATAATTTGTCACCTGGTTTGTCCATTTTTTTTAATTACAAGCATGCAGACAGACGAATTACAATCATTATTAATATTTTTGTTGTTGTTGTTTGTGTTGCGAAGAAATTGCATGCCAAATTAGAAAATTTCTGATAAGTTTACGAGCCACTTCTTTTGTGAAAAATCGAATAATACCTAATGAGTAAAAAATACACGCATACACGCACACACATAGACACGCACACACACAGACACGCGCACACACAGACACACAAAAACGCACGCACAGACGTTATGCAAGTGAATTTAAGAGGTAAATAAAAGAGAAAAATGTAAACTTACAATGATGAAGAAATAATATGTATACAAAATTAAATAAACAAAAAACAAAGAAACAAGAGTAAAAAATAATAATCACGTGACCGTCAGCCCCATCTCAGCGTCAATGTCAACAAATCGTGATGAGAATATATTGAAAGGTTGCCATCTATCCTATCTTCACTAATGCGCGTCTAATGTCTGCCTCTGTCTGTCTATGTCTGTGACTATGTATCTGTCTGTCTGTCTGTTTCTTTCTCGATCTGTTTGTTTCTTTCTCTCTATTTCTCTAAATTTTTTAAGTTTTATCATTGTCAACTTTGTAGCAATATTTTTGTGCTTTGTTACAAAATAAATCTCGTTTCGTTTCGTATGTACGGGCATCTGTGTTTATGCTTGTCTGTGCATGTATTTGTCTGTCCGTGTATGTGAACGTATTTGTTTGTCAGTCTGTCTGTTTGTGAGCTTGCGTGTGCTTTGTAATGTTGGTTGTGACAGTGTGTCTGACTATGTGAGTGTATGTATGTCTCTTTATCTATCAATCTGTCTTGTAGTACTTTTGCTTTAGCCTGTGTGTGTTTATGAGGGTATGTCTGTTTGAGTCTGTATGCATCTGTGTGTGTGTGTGTATGTGTGCGTCTGTGTTTGTGTGGCTGTGTGTGTCTGTGTGTCTGTGTGTGTGTGTGTCTGTGTGTAAAAGTTTTTCAAAGCGCTTTATTGGAAATTGAACAGTTTTCAAAAAATTCTAGTGAGGAAAATTGAAAAGACAAACTTTAATTTTATAAATGCCAGCAATTTGGTGGAATTCATACAACATTATATATATATATATAGAAAAAGAGAGAGAGAGAGAGTAAAAAAAGAGATGGATAAATTAGAGAGGCAGAAAGAGGTAGGGAAAGAGTAGATGTTAACGAATTACAGAAAAAGAAGAAGTCTAAGATCAATTGAAAAAAAAGACAGACTTGTATATGGAGAGGGGTAAACAAAGGAGATCAAAGAAGGAAAAGAAAGAAAGAAAACAAAGGAGATCAAAGAAGAAAAAGAAAAAAAGAAAGAAAGAAAGAAAGAAAGAAAGAAGAAAAAGAAAGAAGGAAAAGATAAAGAGAGAGAGAGAAAAAAAGAAAAAAAAAGAAGAAAACGAGGTAGATGGAATGAGAAAGGCAGAGAAAGACAGAGAGAGAGAGAGAGAGAGAGAGTGTGTAGAGAGAGAGAGAGAGAGAGAGTGTGCTAATTGGTAATGGCTATAAAATCAGTTTAATGAAAAAAAAAATAGTTGATTTAAACCTTATTTTACATAAGCATATCAGTTACTTCAATATCATCCACATTCTCCTCACCCTCATCATCAGTATCATCATCAGTATCATCATCAGTATCATCATCAGTATCATCATCTACTATCATCGCCTTTTATGTCGCAAAAAATTAAATAACTGGTGGATTAAAGATTGTAATCTATATAGAGTTCTCTAACATTGTATGTATGTATGTTTGTTTGTTTGTATGTATGTATGTATGCATGCATGTATGTTCGTATGTATGTGGTACAGTAGATTA